TACAAAATTTAGCTGGATGGGGCGGTGCACATCTGTAATCCCAGCTACTAGGGAGGTTGAGGCTGGAGAATTGCTTGAACCTGGGAGGCAGAGGTTGCAGTGACTCAAGATCATACCATTGCACTCCAGCCTGGGTGAAAGCAAGACTCCATCTCAAAAAAAAAAAAAAAAAAAAAAAAAAAAGAATGCCTCAGCCTGAAGACATCCAGGGTTAAATTGCTTACAGAGAATTCCTACTGTGTGGCCATCTTCCCTGTACAAGCTGACATGGTGTTTTTGTTTTATGTTTTAAGTGCTTTAACATCCACCCTTCATTGCCATACCCAGGGAGTATGGTAGGCAAGGAAGGCTGCCTTATTCCACAGGTGAAGAGACTGAGCAATCAGAGAAGTTAAGGTCAGACATCAAGGATAACACAACTCCCTACACCCATAGACAACCTTGGCTTTTCCTGCAAAGATGGGTTTATATTCTATGTCTTATCTCAAAGCCTATTGGGTAAAGAACATGGAAATTCCAGTTCTTACAAATAGTTAACATTTACTGAGCAGTCACTACATGCTAGGTGCTAAGCTAGATCCTTAAATAGATTGCTTCATTTAAACCTCCGCACAACTCTATCAGGCAAGAAATATTATTATCATCATTTCCCCATTGATACCATCAGGCACACAGCAGGTAAGCTGACTCATCAAGATCTCAACAGTAAACAGAGGGACCAAGATTTGGACTCGTGGTACACCCAGCACACACTTACCTGCAGAGGCTGGGCCAGGTACAACCCAGGATAAGTGGTAATCCGAACATAAAGCATTTCATCACCTTCCCCACCCCCAAGCCTGAAGTTGGGAGCCATGCATGATGCCATTTAGCCCATTTTTTCAGAGACAGTTCTAGATCAGGCCACGTACAACAGGCCCGTCCCTGTGCTCTGCACTGGGATTCAACAGAGAACAGGACAGGCCAGGTCCCTGCCTCCAGGGACACTGGCATGGGGCGAAGCTGGAAGGAGTGCAGAACAGCGAGGAGTCTGAGAATGAGGAGGAAAGCCAATCCTCTCCCCTTTCCAGTTTTATTTCTACCAGGCATCACCCTGGCTTCAGATGTCCCATCTCTCCCCAGGTAAACTCTTCTACAGCAGGTGCTTCCCTCTCTGTAGTCCTCCATGCTGAGTGGTGGCCTTGGCTAGCTCCTGCAATGGCCTCGCTGTCCAGAAGCAAGTGCAAACCACGTGGCCCCTCTTCCTGTGACCTAGCCTCACCTGCCTGCAGAATCGAGATGTGGGCCTTATTCAGAACCACCTCTATTCACCTGCCAACGCTGCTGCTCTGTTTCAACATCCATTTGCTCAACAAATATTAAGTTCCTACATGTAAAAGGCCCCAGGCTGGCACCTGTGGACACACACATTAAACCAGAATCTCCAGGACTTCAGAGGGAAGAGACAAAATAAAATTTAACAGCAGAAGCTATCATTTTACATATCCGCTCACATCAAGCCAGCAAGGTGGGTATTAGTTCTTTTTTATAAGTCAGGAATTGGAGACTCGGAGAGGAACTTGCCCAAGGTCACAAGCCTGAAAATGCAGAGCCAGGATCCCACTCCAAGTTGATGCTCTCTCGGACTTGACCTATACCAGGTACACACATACACCCAAGAACATGAGTGAAATAACATAAAGGAGAAAACTGGGGGCCACGGTCACCCTGAAAATAACAGCAACCCCTAGGAAAAGTGACTTCGGAGCCCAGCCTCAAAGATCAGGAAGATTATGAAGGCTGGAAAAGTACAGGAGATGCCTCTAATCCACATGCTCCATCTGGAAGATAACTGCATTTTATGTCTGGAGGCATGGCGACCAGCCCATGAACTCTGTATGGAAGCATTCTTTGAAAGAGGGACAAGCCTTGGCCAAGCCAGAGCAGCTTCTTGAGTCATGCCGCCTGCCTGCACAGACTTCTCCCTGCATCAACATCAGGCCATACCTTCACCAAGGAAGCATTTCTCAATGCGTCACTTAATCCGATTCCCTGGAAGAGTCCTGAGGGCTCTGAGGTGCGGAAATGTGTCCCGTTTACAGAGGAGGAAACCTAATGGAAGCCGCACGCGCACGAGAATGGGAACTTGGTCTGTCTTGCTCAGTGCCTGACCCCTGATACCTGGAATCGTGTCTGGCCCAGAATGAGAGCTCACAAAGTATTTGCTGAATGATCTAACAAAAGTTCCACAAAATGGAAAGACCTGCCCAAAGTCTCACAAATAGCCACGGCTGCACCAAAGCTAAAAAGAGGGTCTTCTCCCTCCTACCCAGTGACCTTTGTATCCCTCTGTACTGTGTCCTCCTCTTCCCCTCCTCACTCACTCCCCTGCCTCCCTTTGGAGCCATCAGCCTCTGTCCACTTGTGGGCTCTGGTCCCACACAAACCCCACCTCCCACTGTCAGTAGAGAGCGTGTCAAAAACAACATGTTTACCTTAAGTCTTATCCCCACCTGTGATATCACCTCCTTAATACCACCCTGCTGAGAACTAGACAGAACAGAAATTCTGCAGACTGAGGCCCACAAAAAATAATCTAGAGAATTAAACGGGAAAAAAATGTGGATCTGAATCTTCAGAGTCAGGCCCAGAGCTCCTTCTGCTGTGGTTCCTCCACTAACCCTCGCCCAAAGCACGTGTCTGCTCTCCTGGTTCTGAGATTCTCTGGCTCTGGATGCCAGGCCCAGCTTTCCTGCCTCCCGCACCAAGGAGGGATAACTGAGAGGAAGCTGCCAGTCCCAAACATGGCTGCACCTCAGCCCCACCAAACACCAGCCTGGACTTGGAGCTGGTTACATCCCCTCTCTGCCCTGATTTCCTCGTCCTCGTGCGTGCCTGGCACACATCGGCAAATGCCAGCTCTTGGCACTGTTGAGTTTGCCTCCAGGATAACCCAGTTTCCCAGATCACCTCTTCCTACCTGGCTACCCAAAGGCCTGGGGCACACTCACGGCCACCCAAGTCAGAGTCCTGGGAATCTGTATTCTTCTCCCCAACTATATAACATATTCATTCATTCAGAAATAGTAAGTACTATGTGCAGGCTGGTGCTCAATGTCTGTCCCCAGGAACTTGGTCTCACAGTCCTGTCAGGTGTCCAGTTCCTGGGCAGCTCTGTTACCCCTGTCCCTCCCAGGCACAAAGCAGGTGCTCCCCAAACAGGGATTTCTTTTTCGCTTCTAACCTTCAAGGAAGACCTCAAGGCATCTATCGCCTTAATCTCACTTCAGTCTAATTTAAAATCCATTCTCAAGAAGGCTTCACCCTGAAATTATTAAAGCGCCTTCTGCCTGGTGCCCCATAGGGATCTCCAAATTACCCACTCACTTTTCAGCTCCACCCACAGCACCCACGGTCCCAGGAAATAAGCCAAGTGAGTGGCGGTCTGTCTGCAGCTCCCCCAGTCCTCAGTTCTTACTAGGAAGATGACAGGAAGAGGGGGAGTTTAAGCAACTGGCACATTACAAAGAAGTCAGTTCCAAGTCAGGGAACCTTCCCGTGTCCGACGTAGATGACCGATGTCGCCGTATAGGGCCCGGCCCTCCACAGGCCTTGGGCAGCGGGGCCCAGGTCGCCCCGCTTTGAGGAAGCCCATTGTGTGTGTTTTAGATTACTTCTGCCTGTCTGATGAAGTGAGTAAAAGGGCTCCGTTTCAGGGCCTAGGATTCCTGAGTGAGCTAATACAGGATGCCTTTGGCTGAAAAAAAACTTCAGTCGGCTCTATAAACTACCCCCCTTTTAAGTTTAAAAAAGGGAATGAATGTTACCATTTTTGGACATGAGCGTTCTCCCTCAAGCCCAGCCCTAACCGCACTATCCAGAGGGACGCGCCATCCTGTCCACCCCCACCCCCCCACCAACCCCACTCCCAGATCAGCCTGGGGGTGGGGAGGGTATGAAACGGGGAGGGACCGGATGGAAGCGGGCAGCCGAGAGAAGGGGGAGGGAAGGGGTATTCAGGGTACGTGGCCGCCTGGGGGCAAGGGCTCACCGCGCAGGCAGGAAGCGGCGGTAGGGTAGAGACGCCCTCCCCCCACCATCACGAGTGGTTTCGGACCTCTTCCTGCCACTGGCCACGGTACCCGGGTCCCATCGCCAGCTCCGAGCCCACCCGCACAACGCGCCTGTCTGGGATGCAGCTCCCTGGCTAAGTAGAGATCCCCAGTGACTGGCCCCAAATATCCCCTAAGACAGACCCTCGTTCTAGAGCCCCTCAACTCGAACCGAGCTGCCCACCTTTGCTGGGGGTCGGAGGGGCAAGACGTAGACGCAAGCCCATGTGGGACTTACAGCTACCAACCCACTGAGTTAAGCAATAAAACGGTCTGCCGTCCTGACCCCGCCCCCACTGGGCCCGCGGGAGAGCCAGCGTACGCCCCCCAGTTTTCTCGGCCACAGCCGCACTCCAGCTGGTCCTTCTCTAGGCAGATCCGGAGGCGGCCGCCGATCTCCCCGGCGCTCTCCCCTCTGCCTGGGGGACCGCAGGGTCCCGGGCGGCCCACAGCTCAGGTACTGAACCCAGGGCGGCCCAGGAAGCGGCGCTGCCACCGCACGCCATATGGAGAGGTGGCCAGGGGCGGAAGGAAAGGGAAAATCGATCCTGAGCAAGCAGCCCGGAGCCGGGGTCTCAGCCCCAGCCTGCTGAGCACCGCCCCCGCGCACAGCCCACGCGGGGATGGCTGCGGCAGCCGCAGGGTGGCCTGGACCACCGACCCCCAGGGAGACCTGCCCGCCGGCGGCACCACCTCTCCGTGCTCCGGCCCGGCGTTCGCGGGCTCCGGGACACGGGCGCTCCCGCTTCCGCCAGGCGCCTGTAACCCAACACCCCACCTCGCAGGGGCCGCGCCGCCCCCGCCCCCTCCCGTGAGCGCCCGGAACCGGTTCAGAGCCCGGGGGCCGAAAGCCCGGCCGACAGAAGGGGTCGCGGCTGGGGGCTGCGGCGGGCGGGGGCGGCTGCTGACCTTTCTCTGCTGCTTCTCCCAGGCCGGGTCCAGGAGCAGGTCCCGGTCCCAGTCCTCTTCGGGCTGCATGTAGTCGTTGGTTTGCTGAGAATCATAATGGTCCATGATGGTGCGCGCGTGCGAGGGGCTGGATTTCTTCCTCCACCTTCTCTCCGAGCTACGGCGGCTGCCCTGGCGTGGGAAGGGAGCAGGGCTGGGCTGGGCTGGGCTGGGCTGGGCTGGGCTGGGCTGGCAGGGCCGGGCTCGCTCCCCTGCGCCCGGTTCCGCCGCGGCGCTGCTGGCGAAAGCTGCTAGTGGCGGCGACAGCGGCGGGTGGGCTCCGAGGACTGCCTATCTCTGGGCGGGCGCTCGGACCTAATCTCCACGCACACTAAGCAAGGCGGACACACTCGCGCTGCGGGAACCGAGGCGGGCGGGGGCGGGGGGAAGGGGCAGAGCCCTCCCGAGGCTCTCCATTGGCCAGGCCGAGTTGCCCAAACTTCCCCCCATCGCTTCTCATTGGGAATTCCTGGCATCCGTCAGCCGGGCTGCGGCGCATATAGGTGGACTGGGCGGCCCCCCTCCCAGCGCGCACACCCCCGCCCACTCCCGCGGTGCCCACTCCCCCGCGACTCATGTGACGCCAGCTTAAGCTGAACGGGACCGAAGCCGGGAGACGCCTCCCGAGCCCGGGGACCGAGTGGCAGCACGCTCGGGAGCGCCAGGAGCCGCCGGGATTGGACCCGTTCCTCGCCACCGTTATTGCGCTCCCACGCGCGCTCCAAATCCTGGGGTGGGCGGGGGCTGGAGAAGGGACGCGAGGAAACCCGAAGAGCATTCATTTTCTCTTTCCCAGTAAACCTGGGTTTGGGCAGGTCAGCACCCTAGGAAAGGGGGCGGGGTGGGGCAATGGAAAGGAATTTCCTGGGAATTTCACGACTCCACCGTACCACCCCCCACCCCGGCCCAGCCACACTCCACCCCACCCCACCCCACCCCACCCTACAAAGGCGCGACCTGGCTGATCCCTGCCCTGCAGAAGCCCGATTTCTCGCCAGCAAACTGCTCTCCGAGGCTACCGAGCGTTCCCGCCACGCCACAGGAACCGTTTCAGCTCGCCCTCGAGCTCTAGGGACCCCTCCACAGCGGGGCCTCCTGGAATTCCCCGCCGGTCTCCGCGAGCACACTCGGCGGGCTGGTGCAGCCAAAACTACCTTCACCTGGCGGTGTCCTCCTCCCTCAGAGACATCCAGACATTACCCTCAAAACTGGAAGGGAGGACTCTGAGTGATCTAGGTAAATCGACTCGGTGCCTCCCTCCCGCATGCACACACCTGACAGATGGGGAAACTGAGGCTCAAAGAGCCGAGCGCGGAAAAGAGCTTGACTCCGCAGGCCAATACTGTAACCTTATGCCTGACAAACAAAACCTTATTGTCATTGGAGGAGGACGGAGGGCGGGAGTTACTAAACAGCTCTAACTTCTGCCTGCCACCTGCCAGGACTCCCCTCCCCGGGCTTAGTAAGAGGAGAGTCAAATGCGCTGATGCCCGTAAGGAGCAGAGCAGGCCTCGCGTTCTGGTGAGCAACTCTATGGGACCCCGGGATCCGAAGAACAGTGGCAAACAAACCTCTCCTAGGTTATGCACTCTATTGTGAACAACAGATGAGCCAGTCTTGCACGCCAGCACCCAGCGCCTAGTAGAGCTTAGTTTATGCATTTGAGGCTGGCCGCAGTGGCGGTGGCCCAGGCCTGTAATCCCAGCACTTTGAGAGGCTGAGGGGGGTGGATCGCTTGAGCCCAGGAGTTGGAGACCACCCTGACCAACTTGGCAAAACCCCGTCTTTACTAAAAATACAAAAATTAGCTGGTTGTGGTGGCACACACCTGTAGTCCCAGCTACTTGGGAGGCTGAGGTGGGAGGATCCCTTAAGCCTGGGAGGTGGAGGTTTCAGTGAGGCTGTTTTCATCAGTGCACTCCAGCCTGAACAACAGAACAAGACTCTCAAAATATATACATACATATCTGCATTTGGCCCTTTATAGCCACAGGTTTCAGAATCTGCAGATACCTGGGCTGACTGTGAGGGGCTTGAGCATCCTCAGATTTTGGTATCTGTGGGATTACTGAAACCACTACCCTGCCAATATCAAGGGAGGACTATATTTGTAGAAGGAATGGCTGCAAGGAGGCTGAAGCAGGAGAATTGCCTGAACCCAGGAGGCGGAGGTTGCGGTGAGCCGAGATCGCGCCATTGCACTCCAGCCTGGGTAACAAGAGCGAAACTCCATCTCAAAAAAAAAAAAAAAAAAAAAAAAAAAAAGAAGGAATGGCTGCATCAACTGCAAGAATTAAAATTAAAAATTAAAAATGCAAACATGTCAATTCAGAGGTGAGTGAAGGATTTGGAGGAAGAAGCTCACTGACAGGAAGGGCCCTGAATTAGGGGCTGGACTTTGTCCTCTACCTTCTCTCCAGGCGATGAGGGATACCTGAAAGGCCACCCATGGAAAAGGGGAAGAAAGAGAAGAGCCATCGCTGCTGTTGTAAGCAGATATCAGGTGGTGTCGCTGGTTGCATCATTCATCAACCACACACATTTGTGTGAGTGTTACCCTTCAGCACTGTGCCTTCCAGAAGCCCCTGGCTGAGGAAACACTGCTTCTGAGCCACAGAGACAGCTGATTTATGGACTATTTTATCACTGCTTCTAAACTGTGGCATTAAACCTAACACAGAGGGTAATGGTAGTGCTGCATCCATTCATTCACTCAATAAATATTTGCTGAGCACCATCTGCATGTCAGGGAATGTACTAGATGTTATGTATATAGAGATGAAAAAGCCATAGTCCCTGTCCCACACAGCCCACCAGACAGGCACAGAAACAAAAATATGATGTCATGAGTTAGATGGAAGGAGAGATATCTGACAAGGGTATTGTTGGAACACAGAGAAGGAGCACTGAACCCCGTGGGAAAGGAGGCTCCAGGCTTAACTTTTTGGAGGAGGCGAAACTTAAGTGAACCTTAAAGAATGAGAGTCAGCCAGATAGAGTGTGGGAAGTTATTCCAGGGAGAAGGACCAGCCTGAGCTAACGCACAGGGACAGGAAACTGCATGGTATACAAAGGAATGTCTAGCATCTCAATGTGGCTGGACTAGAAATCCAAGGCTGGGAGGGGCAAGAGATGGGGCTAGAGAGGTGCACAGCAGCCAGACTGTGAAGGTCTCATGTGGATCTAAGGGGAGCAAGGCTGGCTGGAAGCTTTGACACCAGTTGCAATAATCCATGTCAAAATGGAGCAGCATGGATAGACCACAAATACTTAGGGGATAAAACTGAGAGACCTAGGAGTTTGACTGAGGAGACAGAAGTGTTTTTGTTGAGAGATCCCATGTACTTTACCTCCTATATTAAGTTCCTCCTGTGAGGTGAGAGTTGTGTCTGTCTTACAGAGAAAACAAACTGAAGCTCGGAGAGGTAGTAACTAGTCCAAAATGGACCAGTATGTGTGACTCCCAGACCCATGGCTTTAACTCCAGTGGTTCTCAACCCTAGGATATTTTAACAGCTCCCCCTCACAAGGAATATTTGTTGATGTCGAGTCATTTTGGGTTATGACAGCTGGTGGGTTCCTACTGGCATCCAGTGGATGCAGGCTGGGGATGATGCTAAACATTCTGCAATGGACAGGACAGCAACTCCACAACAAAGAATTATCCAGGCTGGGCACGATGGCTCACACCTGGAATCCCAGCACTTTGAGAAGCTGAGGGTGATGGATCACTTGAGGTCAGGAGTTCGAGATCAGCCTGGGCAATGTGGCAAAAACCCATCTTTACCAGAAATACAAAAAATTAGCCAGCCATGGTGATGTGAATCTGTATTCTCAGCTACCTGCAGGGCTGAGGCAGGAGGATTGCTTGAGCCTGGGAGGTCAGTACTGCAGTGAGCCATGATTGCACCATTGCACTACAGCCTGGGTTACAGAGCAATGCCTTGTCCAGAAAAGAAAGAAAGAAAGAGAAAGCAAAGGGAGAAAGAAGAAAGAAAGAAAGAGAAAGAAAAGAAGGAAAGAAAGAAAGAAAAGAAAGAACCAGCTCAAAATATCAAGAGTGCTGAGGTTGAAATCCTGCTTTAATCATCAGTTTATAGTTTAGATAATCTGGTGAATGGAGGCACTGTGACCAGTGGAGATAGTACAGAAGAGGAAAATATTTGGGAACAGAATCACGGATTGAGTTTGAATACACTGAATCTGGAGTGCTCTTAGAATGTCCAGATTCTGTTGTCCAGCAAGCAGTTTGACTGCATAGCCCTGACCTCAGGCAAAACAAGAGCTGAGAGTCATCTGCATATGGATGATATTAACGCCATGAGACCACCCATGAAGAATGCCCAGATGGAGATGAGAAGAGGGCAGAACACTGAAGAGCAACACTTAGGGACAGCAAAGAACAAGAATCCCTGCAGGAAACAAAGAAAATGGTCATCCAGGAACAAGGAAAGCCTGGAGTATATGGTGTTGCGGAGGTCAAAGGAGTAAGGTTTCAAAGTAAGAGGAATTGGCAATGTCAGATATACTCAAAAAGTCTGGAAAGTAAAGCCTAAACAGTGTTCTTGAATATGACAGTTGAAAATTCATTGGTGACCTTGGCCAATGGAATTTTGGCAGAGTAGCAAAAGCTGTAAGTTTAAAGGGACATTAGGAGTGAATAAATGGAGACAGTGAATATAGAAGGGAAAAGAAGTAGCTAGAGGGGTAATAGCTAGAGGTAGGTACTGAGATCAAAGGAGGACTTCTCTTAAAACTGGAAAATGTGAGCTGTTTGTTGTTTGAGAAGAAGAATTCAGTTAAGTAAGAGGAAAAAGTTGAAAATGTAAGCAAAAGGAAGTTGAGGGAGCCAGGTGCAGTAGCTCATGCCTGTAATCCCAGAACTTTGGAAGGCCAATGCAGGTGGATCACTTGAGCTCAGGAGTTCGAGACTATCCTGGACAAAATGGTAAAAACCCATCTTTACCAAAAATACAAAAAATTAGTCAGGCGTGGTGGAGTGTACCTGTGGTCCCAGCTACTTGGGAGGCTGAGATGGGAGGATCACAAGAGCTTGGGAAGCTGAGGCTGCATTGAGCCACTGCACTCCAGCCTGGGTGACAGAGTCAGACTCCATCTACAAAAAAAAAGGAAAGCATTTGAGGGACAGCACAAGTTCTTGAGGAGATAGGACCATATGGGTGCAAGGACACAGGCTAAGGGATGAGCCATTGAACAAGAAGAAAGCCCCTTATCTGGCTGGGTATGGTGGCTCATGCCTATAATCCCAACACTTTGGAAGGCCGAAGCAAGTGGATTACTTGAGCCGAGAAGTTCAAAACTAGCCTGACCAACATGGTGAAACCCTGTCTCTACTAAAAATACAAATATTAGCTGGATATGGTGGTTTATACCTATAGTCTCAGCTACTTGGGAGGCTGAGGTGGGAGGGTCCCTTGAGCCCGGGAGGCAGAGGTTACAATAAGTGGAGATCGCATCACTGCCCCGCAGCCTGGGTGACAAGAGTGAGACCTGGTCTCAAAAAAAAAAAAAAAAGAAAGAAAGAAAGAAAGAAAGAAAAGAAAAAGACCCTCATCTGAGAAGAGAGGATGCCCACAGTGTGTGGGAAGATGGTCAGGAAGTGCATTGAAACAATAACTGATTAACTTATCTTCTCAATAAGGGAGGCCTTAAGGATGGACCAAGGTAATGAACTGACCCGTCTTCTCATTCATGGCCATCACACTGTGAAACGATACTGGGGACTTTCAGTCTCAGTAGAACACAAGCTTTTTTAGAGAGAACAAAGTTGCTAAAAGTGTTGAATCTTTAGGGATGCTAAAGTATATGCATATTTATAACATCCATTCTTTTTTTTAAATTGGATGTAACAGTGTCAAAAATGCACTAATCAAGTACACTAATCTTACACATCACTTGGTAAAATTTTAGATGTCTACACCCATATAACCTCTTTTCTGGTCAGGATATAAAACATTTCTGGCACCTCAGTTTTTCTCATGCCTCTTCCACTCTATACTTCCAATTGATGGAGGTGCCCACTCTTCTGACTTCCTATCACCAACGATCATTTTTGTTTATGAGCTTTTTGTAAACACAGTATGTATACTTTGGTTTCTGGATTTTTTTCCCCTCAGTTTAATGTCTATAACATTCATTTATATTGTGGCTTGTATCAGTAGTTAATTTGTTTTTGTTGTTTAGCATTCTATTTTATGAGTAGATCCTAAGAAATTTATCTGTTCTCCCATTGATGGGTATTGTTTCCAATTTAGAATGTTTATTTAAAAAACTACTATGAACATTTTTATGTGTGCTTTCTGCAAACATACACATGCATTTCTCCTGGATATATACCTAAGAATGGAATTGTTGGTCAGGTGTGATGGTTCACACCTGTAATCACAACATTTTGGGAGGCCAAGGCAGGAGGATCACTTGAGTCCAGGAGTTCAAGACAAGCTTGGGCAACATAATGAGACCCCATCTCTATAAAAAATACAAATAAAAATAATAATTAAAAAGTAGAGGCTGGGTGTGGTGGCTTAAGCCTGTAATCCCAGCACTTTGGAAGGCCAAGGTGGATGGATCAAAAGGTCAGGAGTTCAAGACAAGCCTGGCCAACATGGTGAAAACCTGTCTTTACTAAAAATACAAAAAAATTAACCAGGAGTGGTGGCAGGCACCTATAATCTCAGCTATTCAGAAGGCTGAGGCAGGAGAATTGCTTGAACCTGGATGGTGGAGGTTGCAGTGAGCTGAGATTGTGCCATTGCACTCTAGCCCAAGCAACAGTGTGAGACTCTGTCTCAAAAAAAAAAAAAAAAAAAAAAGAATAGGATTGCTGGGTCATAGGGTAGACATATGTTTCACTTTAGTAAATATTGGCAAAGACTTTTTCAAATTGGATGTAAGAATTTACTCTCCACGAAGCAGGATGGGAGAATTTCAGTTGCTCCACATCCTCCTAACACCTGGTATTGTCCTTTTTTTTTCTTCAAAGTTTACCATGTGGTGGATGAGTAGTGATCTCTTTTTATGGATTTAATCTTTTCATATGCATATTGATAATCTGAATTTAAAACACCCATTCCTGATACCATTGATTCTAATAGCAATTAATTCTCAATTTATTAGCTGCTTAAGGTAAGGAACAATGGCACACATATTTTGTTAATTCCCCAAATTTCATTCATTCATTCAACAAATACTCATCATGCAGGTGTTCTGTGCCTAGCACTGTGCTGGAAATAAAGGTACAAGAGTGGACAAGACAGAGGTAGCCCTGTCTATCTTAGAATAGACAGTTAATGCTCTATAGTCAGTGAATGATTGTTTAGGGAGGAGGCTGTTAAGTCCTGTGTAGAAGCTGTTTTGTTTTGGTTTGCTTTGGTGAGAAGCTGAAAAAGGTCTACTTTATATGACTTTTCAATTAAGAGTTTAATAGAAACAGTTCTTACAAAAGGCCAGGTGTGGTGGCTCACGCCTGTAATCCCAGAACTTTGGGAGGACCAGGCAGGCAGATCACTTAAGATCAGGAGTTCAAGACCAGCCTGGCCAACATGGTGAAACCCCTTCTCTACTAAAAATACAAAAATTAGCTGGGTATGGGGTTGCACGCCTATAATCCCGCTACTTGGGAGGCTGAGGCAGGAGAATTGCTTGAACCTCAGAGGTGGAAGTTGCAGTGAGCCAAGATAGCGCCACTGCACTCTCCAGCCTGGGTGATGGAGCAAGACTCTGTCGAAAGAAAGAAAGAAAGAAAGAAAGAGAGAGAGAGAGAGAGAGAGAAAGAGAGAGAGAGAGAGAGAGAGAGAGAGAGAGAGAGAGAGAGAGAAAGAAAGAAAGAAAGAAAGAAAGGAAGGAAGGAAGGAAGGAAGAAAATCCCTGGGATTACATGTTCAGCCAGAGCAGAGTGAGGTTAGACTGTGAAGGAAAATGGGCAAAGTAGAGAGATTCATCTGGGAAACAATACAACTCTTTTCTTCTCAGAGGCTCAGCCTGTATTGTCCTTTTTTCATCCATCCTTGGCATCTCTCTGCGTGCAATGACAAAGGAACGGAGATTGTGGGCAGTTCTTGCCAGAGTTCTTGTTACACCAGTGGGTGTGAACTGAGACTCAAGAAGCTTGCTCAAGTCAGTGACAAGGAGAATTGAAATTCCTTCTACCAGTCAGAGTCCTTCTGCAGAGCTGCTCAAGGAACAGGAAACTCCCCACTAAGCAGCAGCAGCAGCTGAGACCGCAGCCTAATTCATCACCAGCCCTCCAGGCAGCTGTGCCGCCACAGGCCAGCTGGCAACGAGTCACTCAGAGAGCCATAGATACTTTGCTGTTGAAAGAACCTACTCTGGAGTAGATGACCCGGCTTCCCATGGAAAGGAGGAATGATTATGTCTATGGGTTCTGGGAAGACTCATCGAACACCCACTCTGGGCCAGGCAGAATGCCAGGAGATTCAAAGGAGTCTCTCAAACCTCATCATTCCCCTGGTACAAAGCCATAGGCTTCCTCCCCGAGAAGTCATCCATCCAACAGATAGTCACCAACAGACATAGTCTGAGAGGATCAAAATGAACTGGATTAGGCTGGGTGCAGAGGCTCATGCCTATAGTCCCAGCATTTTGGGAGGCCCAGGCGGGTGGATCACCTGACGTCGGGAGTTTGAGACCAGCCTGACCAACATGGAGAAATCCAGCTACTCAGGAGGCTAAGGCAGGAAATCACTTGAACCCAGAAGGTGGAGGTTTCGGTGAGCCGAGATCGCGCCATTGCATTCCAGTCTGGGCAACAAGAGCGAAACGCCACTCCCCCACCCCCCAAAAAAAGCTGGATTGACACGTGAGGTGACATAAAGAAGGGAGAGTGCCAGCCCCATGCCTGGGATGCGGCAGGCCACCTCAATGCGCATGAGTTTCTCTTCCACCCTGTTGTGGGTGACTTACTATGCAAGGTCCTGTGCAGAAACATAGGCAAGTAGGGTGTGCGAGATTCTGGAAACTAAAAGCACTATGGACCTCCCGCCCAGAGATTTAGCTATTGTCTTCCTTGTGTCCTGAGTTCTTCCCTAACCTTACAGCCTAAGGGTAATAGGCTCCTATGAGCTGTTCCTAAGAGCTCAGGGCGTGGTAGTCATTAAGAGTGTTTGTAGAATGCTAGAAGGAGGTACGAAATAAATCACTATGGTTTTTTTGGTTTGGGGCTTGGGAAACCAGAAACCTCCATTTTGTCCCCAGTCCCAGTAGCAATATAATTAATGGACTTGCCTTCCCTGAACGCCCACAGCATACCATTTGTAACTAAGAGAGTGTATGTTGCTTTTAGTCCTTTGTCCATATTTTCTCTCACACTGTCTCCATGAAGCCTCACCCCTCTTCTTTCTCCCACTCAGTCTAACACGGGTCCTAGGACACCGTAGGTGCTCCAGTTCAATATTCCCGGAACGAAAAATGGCATTGGTCAAATTCCATCTTACTGCCCGTTTCCCCGTCAATTCATGGGAGGCCTGGGTAGGCCAGTCCTTCACCATAGTCCACGCAACCACTTCCTAAGTTCCTGGGCCTCCTGAGAAATTAGTGGCAGTGAAATTGAACTGGCTGTTCCCCTTCCCAGGCCCCAGCCAGCAGCACTCAGCCGTCAGCCATAAGGATGAATTCCTCTGCACCAGCTTCTGCTTCATTGGAACTGTCTGCTGTAGGGCCAATTCCTCTCCCTCCCACCAGAAATCAGTGGGGCAGGGAGGGAGACACACAGCAGCTTCCCTCAGGTGGGATCTCTAATAAGAGGCTGGCAGAAAAGTTCCTGTTCTTCCCATACTCTGCCTAGCCCTCAGGTCTCAGGTGAGAGAATATCTGGCCTATCTGGTCCACTCTTTTCCCTAGTGATCAGGCATATATTTATATCCCCCAGATGCCAGGGATAAACCAACCTGGACCCTCAGTAATCTCTACCTTAGATAGCTACCTTGAGGTCAGCTCTGGGAGCAGAGCTAGTCAGGCTTGAGAGCTGCTTAGCCTGGGCCCTCCAAGGAGGGCTGGGAGCTCTTCCCCAACTACCTCTTGTTCCCAGCAAAAATCAGAGCAATGCACCCAAATCACAGCTGAGAAAATAAAGACCTAAGTAAATGGAAAGATTATTCATTATGTTCATAGATTGGAAGAATCAATAACCCCGACTTTAGTGCCTAACCTGCAACACAGCATTGGCTTTATAAGCTACATGTTCAGCCACTAGCTGAAAAGTCACTCTGTCCAGATCACTTCCATGGAAATGATGGCATAGCTTTTAGGGGCAGATATTGTTATGTGGGAAGCAGGATAAGGCCAGGAGACCTGAGCTCACTGGGCTTCAGCTTACTCATCTGCAGAATGACAGGGCTGGATTCCGGAGACAGTCTTTAAGCTCCTGGTGATAAAGTTCTGAACGCTGTTCTAAGAACATCTTTCTCCAACTCCTCCTTTATATCTCCAGTGACAAGAGGATTTGAATCTTCTGAAACAGTGTTTCTCTACCTTGAATACTAAGCAAGATCCTTTAGAAAGGATACAAACCCTCACAAAGTTACTTAGTTTTCATTTTAATGTTCCTTAAATGTGGATGAACATAAAACTAGGCACAAAACCTCTTAAGGTTTGGGGCTTACAATCAACTATAAAATGAAAACAAGCTTACAAATTCTATTTAAAAGAAATTATAAAACCAGTAAGATTCAAATTAGCCACATTAATTTAAATGTAACTGTTGCTATTTGCTGAAACAAAATTGCTACTCCCAGCATGATTTAGTTCTGACTGTGATCAAGCAGGTGGTTCTTTCTGCCTTGGGGATGCCGGTATCACCACGTGCCAGGCAATGACTCAATTCTCCTACCACTTTCTCTATTTGAACTACTGCATCAGGGCATCATTTAACCTCCACTTAATGAGAACACACTGTAATGCATCAAGTTCCCTCTGCTGTTTTCTCATTAGCACTGAACAATTAAAGTTAAAAAATTTTTTTTAATCTTTGTACCAACAGGATCCTCCTCTCAAATTTCAATGTTCTTATCTATAACACAGAGAGAATCACTTCCATTCCACCTACCTCACAGGATGGCTGTGCTATTCATTCAACTATTTTTTTATTGAGTACTTGCTATGTGCCAAACACTGTTTTGGCACAGTGGATGTAGCAGTGACCAGAATGGACACAAGTCCCCACCCCATGGAGCTTACATTTCAATTGGGAGAGCCTGGTAAGAAAATAAAGAAGTAAAATAATGTGATAGTGTTAAGCTCTAAGAAAAAAAAAAAAATATATATATATATATATATATATATATATATATATATATGGCAGAGAAGGGGAATTGAGAGTTTGGGGAGACACAGAGGGAGGTTACATATTTTAAACGGGGTGTTCAGGGAACGTTTGTTGAGTAGGTAGCATTTAAGAGCTAAATGAGGTGAGAAAACACCTCATTTAGGTCTTAAATGAGGAGCAGCCAAAAGATCACAGTAGCTAGCAAGAAATAATGCACATGAGACACACACGGAAAACTACAATGGAGATGTGGGTATAATAGATACCTGTTGTTTTGCTGCCCAGCAACCATTTTCCCCTCCTGGCAACCATAACTTGATACTCCTCTGGGAGTGCAACTCCCCTGCTCCAATCCCTGGGCTTCAAGTAGAGTTGACCCCACACCTAGTCGACAAGGCTGGGCAAATGAAAGGTCTAGCCAATCAGAGCACAATGATTGGGTTAGGGCATGGGACCCAATCAGAATGAAGGATGCATAATGAAACCTTCTTTTTTTTTTTTCTTTGAGGCAGTGTCTTGCTCTGTCACCCAAGAGGTAGTGCAGTGGTGCTATCACGGCTCACTGCAGCCTTGACTTCCTGGGCTCAAACAATCCTACCACCTTAGCCTCCCAAGTAGCTGGGATCACAGGCATGCATCACCATGCCCAGCTTATTTATTTATTTACTTACTTATTTATTTAGAGACAGAGTCTCATTCTGACACCTAGGCTGGAGTGTAGTGACATGATCTCGGCTCACTGCAACCTCCACCTCCCAGGTTCAAGTGATTCTCGAGCCTCAACTTCCCAGGTAGCTGGGATTACAGGCATGTGCCACGATGTCCAGCTAATTTTTGTATTTTTAGTAGAGACAGGGTTTCATCATGTTGGCCAAGCTGGTCTCAAACTCCTGACCTCAAGTGATCCACCCACCTCGACCTCCCAAAGTGCTGGGATTACAAGTATGAGCCATCGTTCCCAGCCCCACTTATTCATATATTTTGTAGAGATCAGGTCCTTATGTTGCCCAGGCTGGTCTCAAGCAATCCTCTTGCCTCAGCCTCCCAAAGGACTTGCTGGCCTTTCCCCTGAGGAGCCACAGTGGAGACATTCCCAGCCCATCCTTGTCATGGTCTCATGCAGGAAAGTGCCAGGGCCGGGGGGTCATCCATCGCCTCATGTCCCCTCAAGCTAAAGGTTATGGGTATAATGGGTATACAGACAGACAGACAGACAGACAGACAGACAGACACACACACACACACACACACACACACACACACACTCTCTCTCTCTCTCTCTCTCTCTCTCTCTCTCTCTCTCTCTCTTTCTCTCCCTATAAAGCTAGATTAAATTAAACAAGGATTCAAAATCTTATCAGAAGCAAGGCAAGGCTGGCTGGGTGTGGTAGCTCATGCCTGTAATCCAGAACTTTGGGATGCGGAGGCGGGCAGATTGCCTGAGCTCAGGAGTTCAAGACCAACCTGGCCAACATGGCGAAACCCTGTCTCTACTAAAAATACAAAAATTAGCCAGGTGTGGTGATGTGCACCTGTAATCCCAGCTACTCAGGAGGCTGAGGCAGGAGAATTGCTTGAGTCTGGAAGGTGGAGGTTGCAATGAGCTGAGATTGCGCCGCTGCACTCCAGCCTGGGTGACAGAGGGAGACTCTGTCTCAAATAAAACAAGGAAGAATCAGCAGCAAGGCAGGAATACAGGCAATACCACCCCTGGGCTTCCTTTGGCTCTCAGGATTATGGAGGAGGCAGGAGCAGTCACCTGCCTCAATCCCTGGCAAATAGGATCTCACTGGAAAGCTGGATTTACTCTTGTGGCACCATCCCATTACAGTAGGGTTTACATCATGGTTCCAGAAGGATTTACTTTTAGCAATCTACCTGCAAGTCAAGAGAATGTTCATAAACATGGCCTCTCCTGGTTCTGGATCTGTCTTGACACATCCCCAGGGTCACATCCTGATGATGTAGCTAAGTGGAATCAGTGCTCCGGAGTCCCTGAATGGCATGTGTGCCCAGCCTTCCAGCAAGCACATGCCCCGCACATGCCCTGAAAACGGAGTCATGGCAGGAGGGAGGAGCAGCACCTTCAGGACCAGGCAGGCTGCTGGGACTCCACACTCAGGACCACACCCAGATCAAGGAGGGTGGTGTGTCAGGAGGAAGTGAGGGGCGTTCCCACCTGCCAGTCAGCAAGCATTTACTGAGCACTCCCTTGGTCTGAAGGGTCAGGTGGACTGTGGCTTAGAACCCAGTTCTGGTGTTCACTTCCTGTGACACCTTGGGCTAGTCTAAATTCTCTCTTCTTAACACTGCATTTCTCAACTCTGGCTAAAATTACTTGGTGAACTTCAAAAATAACAGCTATACCTGGGCCCCAAAGCTGACCAACAAAAACACTCTCTGCGAGGGACACAGACATTGGTAGGTTAGAAACTTCCCAGGTGATTCAACTCAAATATGCATCTCTGTATTCTCTTTTCTTTCTTTCTTTCTTTCTTTCTTTTTTTTTTTTGAGACAAGAGTCTGGCTCCGTTGCCCAGGTTGGAGTGTAGTGGCATGATCTCAGCTCACGGCAACCTCTGCCTCCTGGGTTCAAGCAATTCTCATGCCTCAGCCTTCTGAGTAACTGAGGTTACAGGTGCACACCACCATGCCTGGCTAATGTTTTGTATTTTTAGTAGAGACAGGGTTTCACCACATTGCCCAGGCTGGTCTTGAACTCCTGAGCTCAGGTAATCCACCCGCCTCGCCTCCCAAAGTGCAGGGATTACAGGCGTGGGCCGCTGCGCCTGGCAATCTCTGCATTTTCTGATTTGCTGCTTCTAGTCTGCCTGGTTTGGTAACCAGATAACCAGGCTTGTGAGGGAAACGTGGAAGGCGAGGAGAGGTATTAAATCGACCAATTCCATGTACCTCCAAATTCAAATTGGAGCCCTGGAGGCAAATACAAGGAGGCAGATTTTGGTTCAGGCCAAGGTCGTGTCTTCATGACCAGCCTAGGTACCACGCACGGTGAGCAGTTTGTGTAAATTTTTTTTTTTTTTTTGAGACGGAGTTTCGCTCTTGTTACCCAGGCTGGAGTGCAATGGCGCGATCTCAGCTCACCGCAACCTCCGCCTCCTGGGTTCAGGCAATTCTCCTGCCTCAGCCTCCTGAGTAGCTGGGATTACAGGCATGCGCCACCATGCCCAGCTAATTTTTTGTATTTTTAGTAGAGACGGGGTTTCACCATGTTGACCAGGTTGGTCTCGATCTCTCGACCTCGTGATCCACCCACCTCGGCCTCCCAAAGTGCTGGGATTACAGGCTTGAGCCACCGCGCCCGGCCCAGTTTGTGTAAATTTTTATTGAGTATGCCTAATTTTGCCCACCTTGAGGACTTACCTAGTTTAGTTGACTTTGCTTCAGATAGTTGTTGGCTGTTTCCAGAAGTCAAATCCATTCCCAAGAGTTATCTCAGTGTCACTTCCTATAATAGCAAGTTCCCAGACCTCTCTGAGTTTACCAGCTTCCTCCCTGCGAAGGTCATGGTGATCACCCACATGCCATGCTGTGGAGAGATTTCAATGAAATAATGAAGAGTGTGACGGCTCTGGATTGCACTGGCTGAACCTGATCAAAGGCAGAACCTCAAGCCAGCAGTGAGGTCTTAAAGGACTGCATGCATTCCCGGCTCTGAAAGTCATTCTGACCCTGGTTTTGAAGTCAGATGACCTGAGTTCAGCCTTATCACCCAGTAGTGATGTGACTCTCTAAACCTCAGTTTCCTCATCTGTTATTGAGGCTGTGATGGTCAAATGGGCAAATACCCAGCGGCCTCTTAGCACAGAGCCTAACATTTGGCAGATGCTCCATAGATGTTGATACCTTGAATTACCCTTGAAGCCTAGAGCTTGCCTAGGTGATTTTGAAGGGAATGCTTATTTAGATATATAAGTCCAGAGCATTTGTTATGAAATCAGCCCACCAGTCTGTGGCCATAGCTCACCCATAGGTTCTTTAGCTTCCATTCAAGTCCAGGTCCAAGTCTCTGGAAGTTCCGCTCCTGCAGAGCTTGTTTGGACGTGAGAACAGAAGCCAAGGGAAGTATTTGCTTTGGAACAAAAAATAAAAAGGGGACAAGGATGGATTTCTGGAGGCGCTCACCATTTTACGGAAAGGAGTCATCTGTTTCTCATAAGATGGGGTGTGGGAAGTGGAATCTATTTTCCTGGTCTGTCTGGAGTAGCTTCTTACTAGTGTGGCCACAGCTCCTGCAGTTCAGGACTAGGCCCTACTGCAGCCAGGGCTACACTTTGAAAATGGACTTGAATTTATTTTGAGTCTTCAAAGGTTAGGCTGGAAGTCTCTCCAGTTGCTCCCACCCTCGCCTCCACAACTGAATGGGTGTGTGTGCGCCTGGATGTGTGAGAGCACAGAAGACTGGAAGGACTGTGTGGGGGAAGGTGTCCAGGTGAGCAGGCCTCAGTTCCCGGCTCTGGAAGAGACTGCAGTCACCCTCAGCTGACTTTGTAAAGGCTTAAGCTCTCCATTTCCTCTCTGTGGGATTCAAGAAATCACTTTCCTGATTCAGCTAAAAGAACCAGCCTGGTTGCAAAAGCCCCCATACATAACCACATCTTGGACCATTATTAAAAAGGAAACAGTGGCGGGGCATGGTGGCTCACACCTGTAACCTCAGCACTTTGGGGGGCTGAGGCAGGTAGACTGCCTGAGCTCAGGAGTTCATGATCAGTCTGGGTGACATAGCAAAACCCCGTCTCTAAAAAAATTAGCTGGGCATGGTGGTGCACACCTGTAGTCCCAGCTACTCAGGAGACTGAGGTAGGAGGATGGCTTGAGCCCAGGAGGCAGAGGTTGCAGTGAG